GAGGCTCTCGAGGGCAACGTAAATGTATTAAATAGATAATAATAGTTCTATGGTGGGCTAAAACAATGTTCACAAACAGCATTGCTTCTGTAAAAAGATCTGTGTCATAAAATAAACTGCTCTTTACGTCTGGAAAAATCAGTTGCCCACCATTCACCAAAACATACGGTCAAAAACGCGGAAATAAACAATAACAGCAATCCAGAGTGTCCGTGTGGCATTAGCATTAATTAAATTAATTGTTAATATAATTAAAATAATTAAATGGAGCTCCAACTGGTATTAAATCTAAATTTTTTGAGAAATGTTTGCATTGCTTGTTAATTTTTGCTGCATAATTTGATCAAATATGTAAAACATGTCCGTAGCACGTTAAACTGTGGTGCCATTGTATTAATATACAATTATTTGCTCAAAAGTTGCCCTTTTTTTCCAATTTGCGTTTGAATATCTACATTTATTCTCATTCTTCTGTTTAATGGAATGCACAAACACAGCAGCGTGCCATCAAAGATGGCGTCTCCGAGGAGGTCATGTGACATTCATTGGTCTGTGGGAACTATGTATTGGAAGCTACCTGGATGCTACAGAGTTAGCTATTTCATCAGAATCAGAATCAGAATCATTTTTATTGCCAACGTAAGTAACGGGAGGTCACAGACTTGGAAATTGCTTTGGCTCAGTGCAACAGTCAAAAAGAGATAATAAAAATAAGAATAAAAAACACTTCTAAAGAATAAATTTAAATTTAAAATAGAGTTACAGTTACTATTTACAATATACAAGTGCACATGGTGCACACAATGTAAGGTGACAGCAGTACAAACGTTTGTAGAGAGGTTTTACTAAATCAAATGGTCTGTTTCTGTTGTGTGGTCTGTTTCACAGCCCACTGGAGACAGTTTTTTTTTTCTAGTTATTTCGAAAAAGAACAGCGAAAACGGCCGCTGTAAAGTGGTTGCCCTTTTATGCTGTTACCTACGGTAAACGTAGAACAGGAAGCCGGGGGGGATTTTGGATGCTCATCCCCGCAGCTTCCTGTTCCACCTTTACCGTAAGTAACAGCAAAAAGGGGCAGCCCGCTTTTAATGTGTGGCGAAATGCCGATCCGTTTTTACCGCGGTTAAACACCACGGACCTTTCTTGAGTGAAGGGTCCCGGGTTTTCTATGAGGTACGAATAAATGTCTCTGAGTCCCCGTCCCAGCAGATCGGTGCCAAAACAGAGGAGTCTGGCCAACGTTTCTCTCGTCATCCCAGGTCTCATACGGGCTTTGGATTTGTTCAGTTCGGTCTCATATAATTATTTTTAGCTTGTCTATATACCTCCTCTGATCTTCTTGCGTTAAAGTGCTTATGTACAATGCTATTCGCCCACTGAGTCTGTTAAAAGTTGTCTCGAATCCATGCTTCAGTATGGACCGCGCTGTCTTTCTGCCACACAGCGAGGGGCGCATGCGCACGCGGGTGTAAACAAAGATCCTTCTATACACTAGGCTTGTGATCTCTTCTGGTTATCTAACATTTTGATTTGTTTCAACAGCAGCACAGACCAGCACAGTTCAAAGGAGACACCTGGTCCATCCTGTAGATTGTGCGTAAAAGACCAAAATATTTCTAAATTCATTTCTACTTGAGTTAGACAATTCAACACTCTTGTCACCTGCATTACCGCCTCCAATTGAACATGACATTTAACAGCTTTATTGTAATCTACTGTTGCATACGGCCCGTATTTCACTGGGAATTGGGTTGACTTAAAACTATTTAAATATGTGTATTTTACTGCACCACAATATTGTATAGTTATTAGTTTCCAAAAACGTATTTTATCTTACACAAAATGTCTCTCCAAAAAACTGTTTTGACTTGATTGTTTTTCAGCTGAAGTGTCACGACTATTTGCGCCATACTCCAGGATTGGTGCAAGACGGAACCCCCTACGACCTCCTCTGCCATCCACATACACGCATAAGTTTTGCTGTCTATGTTCAAAGCGAACTTCACTTGTTCCAAATAAACAAGAAAAGGATCGACTAGAGCAAGCTGGACTTGGTGAAAAAAGACTCAATTTCCGTGGTAAGTCCTTGGTTATTAAGTTATTGTTTCACTTCTCAATTAATCGTAATTACATTTCATTTACCCAAGAGTTTTTGTAGTCTGAGTTTCCAATTAAGCCTTTAAAATGCATGCACATTTTGGGCCCATCCCAATTCTGAGGGCACGTGAGTTGTGAGTGCCCTCACCATAAAATTTTAAAATTGTAAATTAGCCTCAGGCTAACTCTGGTACAATGCATCAAATGGAAACATTTCTGTTTTAAATTGTACATGAGTCCCCTTTTAACTAAATAATAAACTCCGCCCCCCCTCCCCCCTAACTAAAAGGATCTCGCTTCCTAAGAAATGAGGACATCCCTATGGATCTACGGCATGACAGTATGCAAACTCGACGTCGCCAAGCAAACCTCTGTTCCATGTCACAAGAACGCAATATTGATCATATGACCTACAGAGGACTTAATGAAACAAAGTTTTTTTTTAAAGTGAGACATTTGTAATTGTATTTATATGAAAAAGATTTTCTATCATAGTACAGACAGCTCCATATCACGCCACAGATACACTCATGCGCATCATAGACATACAGAAGAGACCCACGTGCGCTCTTTCACACACCGAATAGAAGAACACAAAAAAATATGATGATACTTGAAAATGAGTATGTCTGGGTACTCGGAAACATTTTGAAAACATAGAGCACTCACTCTTGTGGGTTTATCGCAATTTCTACTTAAGTGCAAAAACTAAAGTACTGAGAGAACGTTTTTCAGATGAATGCATGTCCCTCATTTGGATTATGAGATAAGTCAACTCAGGATTCTTGTCTAAGAACTACTGTCTCAAGGCTGTGTTTTATGTTGCACAGTGCTTCAACAATCATAGATTAGCTTTGATACAACTCAAAATAGGTGAAAATGTTTGTGCCTTCCAATTATCCGGTTCCGTTATGTGTGTTTTCTTAGGAAACCTAGATAGCTCTGAGGAATTTTCCAAGCCTCTCCTACATTCAGCTTCCCAAAAGCTTAGTTGATTTTGTGAGGGCGGATTTGAGCTCCTAAAAATGTCAGGATCTACAAGAAGCCGTAGCCTCACTCGTTTGCCCCCTTGCCCTAGACGAGGGCTACACCACTTGGATACATCAGAGGCCCAGTGAAGGTGGTGTCCACCACTGACACGGTTTACAATGCAGACCCATTACAGCAAATTGGTCTTTGGATATGTAGTAAGTAGGCATTGTTCGGTGAGTATTTTATTTATTGTACAAAGGCACGTGTGTGTGGTGTGGTGTGTTGTGTGCACAATAATATGTATCCATTATGATATTAAGGCACAAAAAGAAGAGAACCTCCAGTGGGAACCTGAGATCCACTTGTATTTCCGTGTGGCAAAGGTGTTTTATATTCAGCATAAATGAACGCCACAGTGAAAGTTGTTCTGGGTAAGTATTACATACTTTAAAAACTGGTTTTAATACACCCAGGTTGCTCCAACAATTACCTAGGCTGGGTTATGCTTGTGTGAGCATCCCTGCCCCTATTCAATTTTTTGAACATTCTAGTCGTTCCTTTGCTTATGTGCTGTGGTTTTTAATAGCATTTAAAGAACGTAATCATTGAAAATTGATTGTACAATGCAGGTTATAGGAGTTTGTTTTATCACATGCACATGATTCCAACAATTAGAACAGCGTTCACATAAGAAATGCCTGTATGTGTTTCTCTTTGGTATCAACAGCTCCTCTGAGTTCACTGGGTAAAGAGAATTGCTAGCATGAATTGCTACATTAAAGTTTGTTTCTTTTTCAGACCAACACAGAGCACTGAGGAGAGCTCAGAGGACAGTGGTCTTCGAAGTGAAGAGGGTGCACAAATCCCTGAAGCGTCCACTGAGCCACCCCTGGGTTAGTACTGGTATAACATATATTTGATACGAATGTACTCTGGAAGGTATATAACAAAAACATTTTTCCTTTGCTTTTAGCTTCAGAAGTTTCAGGAGAAGAATTACCATGTATGTTTTGTGCCAAAAAATATATAAAATATAATGGAATTATTTATATTTATACATTGTAAACTTTTTCACTTGTTTAGTCTGGGTAAAACAGAAGGTGAAGCCCCTCCATTGCCTCGCCTCACTGTTACATCGTCACGGCGTGAGGCTCATAGTCATGAAAGGCCGTTGTCTCTCAATCTCTCCCTGCATGAGTCTGTGCATGAGAGGGATAGAGCCATACTGAATTTTTACAAGAGATCACAAGAATGGGCCTGTGAATTTCGGTGTCAACTAATAGGTATGGGTGTATCTCATTTTTTCAATATTATAAACAACCTTAAAAATATTTTTCTGCCACATAGGTGACTCTGCATTTGGAGAGGGAGTGAACAGGCATGTTCTTTAAACAGTTATGGACCACCTCCAAAATGGCTTTAATTTGAATGAAACGGGTAGGATATTGCTGTATATATAGACAGTGTTACAATCACAAAAATAAATGATTTAGTTAAAACCTTACTGTATTATGAATGTAAAACTACAATGTTGCTTGTGCACCTTTTTTAATGGTGAACTCCTCTGTACCAGACAGACCCCTCTGGATATGTCCAGATGCCCATCTGGTGACATTTTGAGCTGAGAATATAGCCTCATTACTTTTAGGGTCTAAATTTAAACAAAGGCTTGACATGACACTTTGCATGACATAAGTCCATATCATATAAAACTTTCACATTGAGCTTTTTTTTAAATTAACTTTCCTTGTGTATTTCTTCTCCAAGAGCCCAAGATCCTACTATTTGAAGGACAAAAGGATCATTTAGTACCATCAACCACGCAAATCTTTATTGAAAGCAACCTTTTTATTGTTGCTGGGCGCATCATGGGCCATTGTTTTTTGAATGACGGCCCACGTTTTTGCGGATTAAGCCCACCAGTCATCCATATGCTCATGGGTGGAGAGCCAGAAATGGCAACTATAGAATTGGAGGATTGCGTCGATACAGATATTCAAGAAGTTATTACTTTGGTATGTTATTAGTATTACAGCAAAGTAAATCTAGTGGTTTTGCATTCCTTATGCGAAATATGGATTTATATTTATTTCAGTTGGAAGGAAATGATGTCCTACAGGAGACTGCAAAATCCAAGATCCATGCTGTGTGCATTCCCTGGGATCTGCCAAGGGTTACTGAAGAAAACAGGCGTTGGCTTAAGGAGAAAATTCTCATGCATGCAGTAAGTTGTAACGTTAGGAATGGCATTGTTTCACCATGGCAGACAGGTGAAATCAACCAAGTGCCCCCTTTCAACACTATATGGCTATGTGTTAATTCTGTACTTTAATATCTGAATTTATTTGTAATCCATAGACACCCTTTTACACATAAATATTTTATAATACTCATTACATTTAAATCACTGAGCTGGTTTTATTTGTATACATTATTTTAAACGTCAAGGTTCTTGGGAGGATCGCAAGACAAGTTTCACAGCTAAAGAAAGGGCTAAAGGACACAGGTGTTTGGGAGTTGTTGAGTTCACGGCCAGATGCTGTTAGCATCTTTTTCCCAAGAGATGCTCAAGTTATAATGACTTCACAGGTAGATGATTTTCATTTTAGGTATAATTACTATCTTTAAATAAAATGTAAATCCAAACCATCATTTATTTTAATCTTTATGTTTTGATTGAACCATTTTCTCTTGTTAAATGTTTTTACATGTATTTCAGATGGTGTTGGAAAAAATTGTGTGGCCAACAGAGGGAGGAAGTTCAGTCGAAAGGAGCAGACAAATTAATTTTCTGAACCATTTCATTCAGACAAGTAAGGCGTCTAAGTTTCCTTTTTATTATTGATTCAATTAACAGGATTATTTATCTTAGGATCTTCTGTGGAGTTGAAGTCCCTTCTCTGCTTCTGGACAGGGTGGGATGTCATTCCTAAATCCCTTTTTGTGGAAGTGGAGGACATTAGTCTGCCTCAGGCATCCACATGCTTTTACATTTTGAAGCTGCCATCAAGTATTTTGAACTTTGAAGACTTCCAAAATGCTTTGCATGCAAGTCTTTCTTCTTCATATTCTGGCTTTGGCCAGTTCTGAGTGTTGAGTGTGTTTTTAATAGTATAATGTGCTTCTTGTTCATTTCATGTTTCACTATAAGCACTGTTACTAATTGTTATTGTGTTAAGTTCATACCTCAATAATTTTATTCAAAAACAAATTGGCCCAGACAATCTTTATTTTATCCAATTATCTGGGAAATGTAATCAACTGTTGAACTGTACACATTTAGAACATCACAGAACGATCCATTAGGATTTGGTAAGTGCAGAATCTCATCAGCAGTCAACTCTTGTGAAAGCTGTGCCTGAGGTATTGCAAGACCCTCTGTGTGGTATCCAGAAAGATCCTCCCAGTCAATACCATATTCTGTGTCCACCTGGAAAAAAAATAACACTAAAATCAAAGTTCTATGAACATGGTAATGGTTGTTAATCAGTTGTTGACTTTTTTTTAATGTTAATCCCTTGTTTGGAAAATGTTGAGTAATGAAGGAAATTACCTGGGTAGGATCTCCCATATGACGAGGGTTTAAGGACCACAGCTGAAGAGGTGACTGATTGTGCTCAGTTCGCAGTTTGTGGTTGTTCCATCCTTCCTTAAAGAAATGCAGATGTCTCTGGATGTGTGGTAGAAAGCTCCAATGGAGGGCATAGAGGTGGATCTCATCATCGGGGTTGAGTAGACCTTCATTTTCCATATTACAAAAACAGGAATAGAAAAGGTCTAACACCCCCCCCAAAGACATCACGCCATAACCGCTCTATTCTGCAAGAAAATACATATACAAAGCATCTCAAAATAAGTTTCACCAAAAGACATTGTTTCAAAACCATAGAAATGTGCATTAAAAATATTTGGATTTGGACAATGATAAAATGCCTTAATTTGCTTCTATGTGATTCTGCAAAGGACCCAAATACCTTTGATTGTGGACACTTCTTCCAGTTATGTGGGAATTCCGATTGTGTCCTCTCTGTACCATCATGTACCTGGCGACATCTACATTTTCAAGTCCTTTGTCGGATCTCACACGGGATGGTGTTCCATAAGACCGAACTGCTTCCAAAAAAGATTGCAACACTGTTGATGCACGATTATTTGTGGCAGCAGAGAGGTATACAATCAAGCGACTGTATCCATCTATACCACCATGGACCACAAAACGCCATCTGTAAAAAAAAAAAAAGAATATTATACCATGGTTTATGAAAAACCCACAGTAGCCTACCTGACATGTTATCTGCAGTGATTGAAGCAGTTAAATTGTAGGTGCTTTTAAATGTTTATTTAACAATACTTACTCAATGGTGAAATAATGTATTCTGCAATTCATATATCCAACACTAATGCGCAAGTATGCATGCATGGGTTAAACAATGCTTGCCTGATGAACATGCGACTACATAGTTTGTTATTCTGTACTCGAGTTCCACATTAAATTGTGAATCAAAACTAGTCTAATCCAAATCCTGAAAGTTTAGTCATTTGATGAAACTTTTGGAGCTTCGGGGCAATAATGTGACCTATAATTAAGAATCCTTCCCAAGATGAGGGGGAAAAAAGACATTACAATATATAATGGGTATATATGTAACTACCTTATTAGTTTGTGGTTTCCATCAATGTGCCAAAGACTGTTTGGTCCTGGTACAGCATATCGTCTTCGTCTGACAGGAGCCAGCTGTATTGTGCGTACTTGTACCCCCAAAGGGTCCACACGACGAAGTGCACACTGCACACGGTGTCCTTCACATAAATTAACATTTAAATGTAGGGAAAGTATCAGTATCTTCATATTTTTCAAATTTCCAAAAAACAGAATTAACTAAATGTACAACTGCACGGATGGGAGAGCATTGTTTAACAAAATACCTACCAACTTTAACTACTTAATTCATAAATGAATGCTTAAGGGTGGACTGATTATTTTATGGGGGCCAATAGTCAGCTATCCTGGGTATACCAGGAATTGATGTGTGTGATCAAATCATTTAAAACAACACATCAGCCTGTAAATCACAACAAAAACTTGAATGAATTTCACTGCTGTAATTTTAATATTTTAAATACAATTATTCAAAGCTTTTATATCATGTTTCATTTTCAAAAGCTAGCTATAATATATTTATTAAGATAATGAATGTAGCACACAGTGCTCAGAGCAACAACGAGGGGCTTGGGCCGTCACACTTTCCTATGGCAGTTTAGATCATTATTTGTTTGACATTAGATCAATAGCGTATGACAAGGTACAATGCAACATGTAAACTTTGAAAGGTTTGATACAATAGGTCGCATGTAGGAACCATAGACTGTAGGAACTTACTCTGTACATGTACGCCCTGAGCTTTAAGATGACCCATCATCATCTTATACCCCGTGTTTGGGTGATGCCTCAAAATAGCACAGACCTTGACATCCAGATCATCATCGGTAATGGCATTATGCAAGTCAGATAATCTATGAAGAAATAATGTATGTTTAAATGTGCCAAATAAAAACATTATAGTGACACAACCGACGGTTACATATAAGCAGTGTTGGTCCAGTTACTTGAACTCATTAATTAGTAATCCAGTTACTTTACTACCTTTCAAATACATAATGACAATTACCTTATATTATGCTCAGCCATCCGGCGGTGTACAGTACTTTCACTAACTCCAAGCAGGTGAGAAATCTCCCGAACAGTTGCACCAGCTAAAACACTGCTTTTTATTGCTTCGACTGACAGCTCAAATGATGGTCGTCCCACCACAGCATAAGAGGCAGTCCGCTCAACGTGGAGTTGTTGTATTTGTCTTGCTTCGTGGACGTTTTCAAATACTACTGGGTTCACATCAAGATGTTCGGATAACTCTACAAGTTCGTCAAAAAGTACACTTATGTGAAACAGAGCATAATCAGCAGAATAATTTCCTAAATTATCAGACAAATGTCGCAACTGGTTGACAAGTCGTCTTCGGAGATCCAACGCCGCCATGATAGCATCAAGGCAGGTATAATCAAATTGAGAAGTCTTTCTGGATTAGCCAATCATTATAACAAGTCCGCCCCCTTCATTTGCATTTTATTGCAAGAGACGAGAAAAGAAGGTGTCGTGAAATAATAAAACAGAACATCAATAAAAGTAAAATATGAAGAAAAGAAATACATGCGGAAAGATAAATATTAGATTTTATTATTTATTTGTGCACAAAACCGCAGTTAAATAATAAAAATATATTTATTTTAATCTTAACCTTTGAAATAACAGAAAAATAATAATGCTTTATCATTTTGTTTGGAACCTAAAAACGTTGTATAATAATAATGTATATTTATTAAATCTCATGATTTGTTGTGTTATCTTAATAATGATTGGCAGAATGTGACATTTATTTATTTATTTATTTATTTATAAATTTGACAGTTTTGGTCCTCCATATGATGTTTGGACATAAAATAGGTATATATCTGTTTAGTCTGGGGTTACTATGGTCGGGTGAGTGTAATCCAGGCAGTAGCGGAGAACATAGTTACAAACACTGGAGATTATGCTTTTGTTTTTATATATTTATGTGCTTGGACATACAATAGTGCCTTGCAAAAGTATTAATATAGCTTGCATCTTTGCTCATTTTGTCATGTTTACAACCATAAACATAACTATTTTGTTTAGATTTTGTTTAATGAAAGCTCACACACAAGTAACATACAACTGTGAAGTGAAAGCAAATTGATATATGAAAACCAGTATTCAAACAGCATAAGTTGCCCCAGCTTTCCAAAGTGAAAAACACGCAAAAATAAAAGAAAAACTGCATGAAATACATACAAATGCGTCGGTGAACGATAGCGTTAAAAGCCAATCCACAAATATGTCTTTAGACTATATTTAAAAACCACCAAAGAAGGTTCAGTCTCCTCAGGTTTTGAGAGGAGCACCTTCAACAAAAGCATTCAGAGATAAGGAGCCCACATGAGCGTACAGAGATAGCAGCTCTTTCTGATTTTTGGACGCTCAAAGACGCTTCACATGTTAATATTCATTCACTCTATACACAGCTGCCCTGGGGCACACTGACAGAAGCGACCAGCAAACAGTATGTGCCATCAGCCCCAACCATTCACACACACATTCACACACCCACACACACCAGACTCATGCTAGACAATTGTGGCACATGGACGTCTCCCAATAAGTACGAACCAGGCCCTGCACTGCTTAGCTTCAGAGGTCTGAGGGGATCTGGCTTTCACCTGCAGGTACATTTTATTTGCCATTGGCAGCAAAACCACATTGGAATACATCCGTAAATGTCCCCAGTATGCACAAGACAAGTACATAAAAAACACAGAAAAAATACAGAAAAAAAAAACACGGAAACAATTGCCACTGTGACATCGATCGGCTAAAACAGTTTCAATACAAAAGCAAGATAATTTAAAGTGCCTTGTGCCTGCATCTCAGCTAACGATATATTTTGTCATGAAATCACGTTCCTCATAATAATAGACTTGAGGTTATATTAAAATTGCAGCCACAAAGCACAACTATTATAACTAACTGCATCTGCCAAAGATTGTGACCTGAGCAAGTAATTATCCCGAAAGAGAATTTTTTTGTATCTACTAATGCGATAATGCCATCTGCTCAGTGTCTAATCCAGAATGCCCCAGTGCTCTCAAACACTTCCTACGTTAAGAATAATGAAACGTCTAGAGATTAGGCCGATTGGGATTGAGCGCTACACCCATCATTTTCCAACCAAAGCATCAACAAATTTGCCCACACATAAACCAAAATAGCTCTCGCAGCAGCATCACCAAAGCAGGAACTCCTCCCTTCCTCTCTCCTGTTGCTGCAGACACGTCCAAGCTGACAACAAAACAATAACATGGAGAAAACAGTTGGTATTTCATGGAAGGATTTCACAGTAAATACGTAGGCAGGGCAGGAACTCACTGTACCAACAATAACGTGGTACCTTGTGTGTATCCAATGTTCGTATTGTGTGCAAAAACATGTTTTCACATCAAATCATTCAAGTCTTTGTCTCCAAACAAAGTAAACTGAAAAGTAAACATTCTATTCAACAAAATGAACTTGCACTGTGAAACCATGTGTCCACTGTCACTTTACTTATGGTCACTTTGTCTCATACGCTCATGCTGCTAGATGTAAACAAACTATATATTTCTTGCACTAGAATATACCAGAGGTGGGACAAAGTCATTGTTTAGCAAGTCACAAGTCAGTCTCAATTCATTGCCCTCAAGTCCCGAGTCAAGTCACGAGTCAAGACAGGCAAGTCCCGAGTCGAGTCCAAGTCAAAGGCCAACAAATCTCAAGTCAGTCCCAAGTCCTACGGTTTGACTTTCGAGTCCTCTCGAGTCTTTTTGACCGCGATTTGTTTCTTGTTGGTCTCCACGTACTTTTGTAGGCAAACAAAATAATGTTAGGATCATTTTGCTGGTGCATTCTCGTTGGTCTCTGACCCATGGACTAACAGTTTGTTCCATGTCGTTGGCTGCTGATAAATCAAAACTATCTACGTGATCTAATTGGATGTTGTGCCAGATGCAGGCTCAGTTACACATGCACAGACCACACATAAAATCAGAGCAGTCCGTGTCAACATACTTTTTATCTTTGGGGTTTTTAATGGGAAGTAGCAAGTGCAGCATATATGAATATGAGTATTGGGCTAGGACCTGTATCTATATAATCAGTTTAATGTCCGTAGTGGTTATTGTTCCAAATGTCCTACTGTAGAATAGGGGTAGTATGAGGGGTCTAGGCTTTGGACCTGGGGCAGCTCGCCATCAACTGGACCAGCATTAGCAATATCTCATAATTACCAATATATCATTACATAATAAAATGTCTCATATAAATTAATTCAATCAGTCAAAGCACTGATTCTCATATCAATGCACCATAAACAATAGTGCAAATATTAATCTAGCTTAGTGCACATAATCAAAACAACTATCTAATGTATGCAAACTTTAGCAGGAGGAGCACAGCAAAAAACATACTCATAATAATAGGCCTCGGCGCCCACACAGAAAAATATAAGAAATAGCCAACAGAGCAGCGCAGGCTAGCGCTAGTTTGACTCACCAGTTCCTCTTTAAAACACGGCACACAGTGTGACAACTGCGTCAATTCAATTGTATGAGGCGCCTGTAGTGAAAGCATATCAATTACGGTTTGTAGAACAAAATATGACGTTAGGTCGCGATAAATACCTGCAGCTCGCTCATTTCCAGCTCCCCTAGACAACACACCCACCGGTGAATGCAGTCCGCTTGTTTAGGGAAGTGTTGCTGCGCGAACTGCGGGGAACTCACGTTCGAACTCTCTCGCGAGCGCTACAACTACCGCGAGGCTTTGTTTCTTCAGAGACGGCATAGATAGAAAGAGAGATGCAGAGAAAGGTAAAAATGGCCCGGGTTACGCAAGTCTTTACAAGTCAATTGGCGCAAGTCCAAGTGAAAGTCAGAGTCATTGATGTTAAAGTCCAAGTCGAGTTGCAAGTCTTTTTATATTTGGTCAAGTCGAGTCTAAAGTCATCAAAATCATGACTCGAGTCTGACTCGAGTCCAAGTCACATGACTCGAGTCCACACCTCTGGAATATACACTATTTATCCTTGCTTATAATACTGTACATTTACAAGGCTAGATGTTTTACTTACTTCTTAAATATGCTAAAGTTAAAGTTTTTATTTTTATTCTATTTTGGTATAGAGTTTTTTTTCACTTATCTTTTGCTGTGTCCTCCTCATTCTTTCTGTTCTGTAACTGGTGATGCAACACTGAAATTTGCCAACTGTGCGACTAACAAAGGATATTTTAATCTTATGTTAAAATGTTCCTGACTCTTTTTTTTTGGCTCACCATTGTTTATGGATGTAAACTTGCCGCACCGCTTGGTCCCTGTGGGTACTGTGTTGTCACCCCGTAAGGAAATTTGTCTTCTGCAGTTGACCCTCAAAGCACTTGGAGCTGGAGGGTTTTCCCTACAGTACGTGTTTTTGGTGCACATAAAGCTGAAACTCTGAAAATTATGACATTGTTCAAAAGTCCATTTACTTTTACTAAAGTTGAATTCAACCTACAAAGTGAAACTCATACATATAGTCATGTACAGTATCGAACATTTGTTAAATCTTTGATTGCTCACATTGTGAGGACAAACACAGAAAAGATGGATTATTATCAAAAAGCATTGACACGCATCTGGGACGTAGCGTCGAGCCAAGAGCCAACTTTTGGACCATCCTGTAAAGCCGTATTAAACCCTTGTATTATGTTAAGGGTCAATTCGACCCATTTCAGTTTTTGTGTTGATCAAAGTACTGGTTATTCTTTCTTTTTCTTGCTATATTTTTGGTGACTTTTCCTCATCTAGGGTTATGAACTGGTGTGTAAAATCTGGACACTTTGATGTGTAGTGGAATGTCTGTGCAGAGTTTGTATACAAAGATGATGTTGCGGGTCATTTTGACCCAGACGCTTCAAGAGGAAAAAATGTGTGGTAGGAATGCCCTGGTAATTCTGTTTCTGAGTACACCACCACTGGCAAGGAGTCAGATTACAAGCATGTCAGCGCACGGTGCTCATTGACCCTTTATAGCCGGGACCCGCCCCCACTGGGTCTGACACAGCCTGGTTTAGATTAGCCTAAGAATTCAGTTCCATTCTGTTCGCAATCACAGGACTCTCTGCAACTTAATTTCTGACTCAAACACTAACTTTAGTAAAGAAGTTATTTTTAAAAATGGCCGATGTGTTCCATGAAGGCGTGATGCTATTAAAAACCGCCTCTTTTATAATTGTAGCTATGAATGTAGAAGACATAAGAAGAGATGACTCACGCTCAGAGCCAAAGTCTCTAGAGGCCAGAGATGGACACTGCAGCGTTCCCACATCCCTCTGAATCTCCAAATCATCTTCTGCCTGTTTACTCAAGAGGCGGACTTATAAATAAACATGTCTGCTGGAGGTGGCTTCTCCAAAGGCAGTGCGTTTGAGAAAAGAAATAGGAATACAAGCCCTTTTGTTACACATATACATATGGAAAATATGGTCCTCAAAATGTACTGTATCTATTTACAAAAAAGAAAAACATCCAGAAAAGATTGTGAAGGTGATCTGTGGTCTATCACTACCTAAATGAAAAGAATTAATTCAGCAGTGTCTTTCATTCAAGGGCAAAAATAGATGGACGTCATGCATAAATGTTTACTTATTATTTTCATGTATTTGAATGTGCAAATAAAATAAGGAAAACAGGGGAATCTTACAGTGATGTATGGAAGCAGTGAGACGTGTGGTAGGATGATGATTGGACAAAAACAAAAATAGAATTAATAGAATCAGATGTGTATGTATTACCATTGTAAGTAACAGGAAGTCACAAACTAGGATTTTGCTTTGTTAGAAAGGTTAAAGTTAAAATGGACATTTGCAGTGAAACCCCATTGGAATACATTTGCAAAAGTCCCCAGTGTGCACAAGACAAGTAGATAGATAAAACAAACAAAAAGTGCAGGAAACTAAAGTCACTGTGAAATCAATCAACAAAAAAAGTTTCAATACAAGTGCAAGATCATTAAAGTGCTCTGTTTGAACCAGTGGCGGGGGGGTCCCGGCTCAAAAGTGGCCAAAATGACGTGCGCTGACATGCTTACAATACCACCCCGGGCCGATAGGGGTGGACCCAGAATAAGAATTAGCCAATGCTAACATGTAGCATTGGCAGATCTCTCAAAAACGTCTTTATAGGATGAACCAAAAGTTGGCTCTTGGCCCAAAGCTCCGTTCCACATGTGTGTCAATGCTGAGGGGGGTGGATTTTTTTGGTCCACTCTAGTTTACTTGTTGTGAATTTTTGAAGTCTCTCGTTCAAATGAATGGAGCCCTCGCCGGCTGACTACGTCCGTTAATTTTTACAGTCTATGGTTTGAAAGGAAAACAGCTCGTGGAAAGAAGCTGTTAGAAAAACAAAATGCATGCATCTCAACAAACGATATCTTCTGCCAGAGGGAAGAAGCTGGAACATGGCTTTTCCAAATTGTGGTTAGAATAGTCGTTGATTATTCTAAGAGCTGTATGTAAGAGTCTAGATTTATAAACAGCCTCCAGAACAGGCAGCTCAATAGGCAGCTGAAGGAGTATGCAGACAAACCTCAGGGTTTCCTCCAGGTGCTGTGGTTTTCTCTACCACTGAAAAGATGTACAATAGGTCTGGGATGTGCCTCCTGTGTGTTACCCCACTCCCATGTGTGGAGTAAGAGACAAATGCCCACAAGTGTAAAGCGCTTTGTGACTCTCTGTCTGCTCTGTGAATGGCACTATAGAAATAAAGATTACTCACTTATTAACGTGTAAAAACAATAAAAACAGAACACACTGTAACAGTTATGCCAAGAATGAACAAAACATTGAAACTGTTACAAATAAAGTTTGTGGCATATTTAAGGTTATGAAGTAAACCATATATTATTCACATTGGGAAATTTGACCTTTTCCTTAACTCCGCTTAGTGAGGACTACAGGAGCTGGAGAGTTTCTGCACTCAGACATGCAGCCTCTGTATCTGTGAACAAAATGTAATAATATAATCCTAATTTATTGAGAAGTAGATGAACCAAACTAAAGCCCATTCAAAAACAACTCACTGTTTTTACGGACTCCAAACTCTTTGTCAGACAAACATTGTATGTTCTGGATATTCTTTTGACATGCACATTTTTGCAGCAAGAATTATTATATTGTTTATTCATTACTTGACAGAAAGATAGACTTAATTGCTCCATGATATTGACCTTATTGCCAATACTTTACAGGGTGTTCAATAATATGATTTTATCATTTAGTTTGGATTCCCTTTATGATATTTGTTGGTTCGAAGTTTCATGTGAGTAAAAATGAAGCTTAAGCGCACATTCATACTGGAAGACCAAAGAGATGCCACACTGGACTCCTCCCCCTCTGCACACCTGCTCCTGAGCTCAACATCAGCCTCAGCTGCTCAGAAACACACCTGAGCTCAACATCACTTCATGGCTGCATTGAAACAGAGTCTCTGCAGCTCAAGCTGCTGTTTGAACAGCAACCCACCTCCTCCACATCAACACCAATTCAGTGGCTCAGCTTCTTCGCCATCAGGTTCTAGGCCCCGTGGGTTTTGCAAGCTCATAATTTCTATCATTGAGGCCTCCAAGAAAGTCTTGTTCGAGGTCTGCCCAGGTTCCTCGCAACGCTGCGTTATGCACAAAGGAGCACTTAAGGACATCAATAATGTGAAACTTTGCATGAAAGTCATTAATGAGTGTGGGGACAATATACCAAGATTTGTGTCACATTATCTGGACGACTTGCCCCCTGTTTCATTTAACCACATCGATGCATCTGCACTGCTGGCCCGGATGGAGCAACTAAACGCTGATGTCAGGTGTATGAAAAAGTCCATGGAGGAACAAACCAGCGCTTTCGAAAGCATACGCGCGGTTACGGCCTGCTTGGACAGCCGCGTCACTGTAATGGAGAATCACAGTGGGGTCCCTGAACCCACCACCGGAGCTGAGCGGCACTCCAGCGGTGGCGCATTGCAGGAGAGTCCTGCACGCCCGGCGCGCTCTGCGCCACCAGCAGCAGAGTCGGCGTCTTCCCCAGCTTGGAGCCTCGTCGTGCGGGAAGGACGCCGACAGAAAGCATTGGATCCTAAGAATAGTGGTCCAAAGCCACGTATGCCTTCTTCCAGACGCGAGCGTAAAACCCCGGGCATAGTTGGAACAGGAGCCGGATCAAACATATGCGCCATCAGGACTAAACTGGTGAGTGTTTTTGCAACTAAGTTTGATCCAAGTTTGGAAGCTGACATGCTCAAGGAATACTTGAGTGAGAAGCTGGGCCGGGTTGTTCAATGCCGTAAAATTGAGTCTGCGCACGGGAGATTCAGCTCATTCCATATAACGGCTGAATGTAATGAAGTTGAAGACATGTATGTGCCCGAACTCTGGCCAGCTGGTGTGTTTGTTAGGAGATACTATGAACCTCGGAGGAAACAAGCTACAGCTACAGGTAGCTCTGGTCCTGGCTCTAGCCGCGCTAGTGCTTCTGCTGCCCAAGCTCTGAATGGCAATGAAAACAGCGAGGAATAGGCATGCTTACTATTGACTATGGATATACGCGTCCTATCCTACAACTGCCGTGGCCTGCGTTTGGGCCAAACCGCGGAGGATAAGACTCGCCGTTTTATTGTTGATCAGTTATTGGAGCAGTGTGACGTTCTCTGCCTGCAGGAAACATTCCTCGCAATGCAGGATTTGTCTGGTTTGAACTCCATAAATGACAGTTTTCATGGTGCTGGAGAGTCCACCACTGACCTCAGCCTGGGGATAATAAGGGGCAGAATCCCAGGAGGTGTGGCAATCCTATGGAATAAGAAGCTGGACCCAGCGATAAATGTAGTCAGGCTTGGAGTGGACTGGTGCATTGCTGTACGCCTGATACGTGATGATAAGGAATGTGTCATTTTAAATATTTACACTCCATATGAATGCCATCAAAATGAAGAAGATTATGTAAATAAGCTTGCATTCATTAGTTCTTATGTACAAAACGAATGTTTTTCAAATGTTTTTATTATTGGTGATATGAATGCCGATATCTCAGACAACAGGTCAGCATTTGCTAAACATCTTAATCATTTGTGTTCTGATAATAATCTAATATTGTCCAGCAGAGAGCTCCTGCCTGTTGATAGTTATACCCATATAAGTGAGGCCTGGCATACCACATCCTGGCTAGACCATTGCCTCTCTACATCAGATGCCCACGCATCCTTGGCACATATGGAAATTTTATATGACTTCTCCACTGTTGATCACATTCCTGTTAAAATGGTGATCAAGTTTGACAGCATACCTTCAACTATAAAATGTAATAATAATCCAAAACAGGGCTTCTTAGATTGGTCCTCTTTGACATGTGAAGAATTGTCATTTTACTATGATTACACTGATCAATTATTGAGTAATGTATACATCCCTAAAGAAGCCCTCCTGTGCAAAGATGGTAATTGTTCAAAGCGTGAACATAGCACTGATATCTCTACTTTGTATAGCGCAATTGTCTCTGCTTTACTTGAAGCTAGTAAGCCTTTCCTTAAGCATAAGAAGAGAGGAAAAACTCTGCCTGGGTGGAATGATTATGTGGCTGAATTCTATGCTGAGGCTCGTGAAGCCACTAGATCATGGGCTATAGCTGGAAAGCCAAGACAAGGGCCCATTTTTGAACATAAGAAGAGCACAAATGCCAAATGTAAATATGCAATACGTTTCATATGTAAGAATGAGCAGCGTCTGAGGGCAGAGTCTATGGCCAACAGACTTTTAGATAACACAAACAATGATTTTTGGAAAGAAGTGAAACGTACAAATAATTGCAAACCTTCACTGCCATGTTCAGTAGATGGAGTCTCTGGTGCAAATGCAATTGCTGAGCTCTGGCGTAAGCATTATTGTAAACTGTTTAATTGTGTCCAGACCAAACGCTTTGAAGCAGACAGTGTTGATTTTATTGAGGAAATCACATACAATGAGGTTTCTAAAGCCATTTCTAACCTGGCAGCTAATAAATCAACTGGCCCAGACTCTGTCTCTGCTGAACATCTCAAACATGCAAGCCCAAAGCTGTGTATGTTACTAGCACTCTGTTTCAGTGCCTTTATGATCCATGGCTATCTCCCAGATTTAATGATGTCTGTGACACTGACTCCTGTAATTAAAGATAAAGCAGGAAAAGTGGGCTCCTCTGATAACTATAGACCTATAGCTTTAGCTAATATTTTATCCAAAGTTGTGGAACTAATTCTCCTAGAGAGGATAAATGAACTGATTACTTCTACAGATAATCAGTTCGGTTTTAAACCAAAACATTCTACGGATCTGTGTATTTATGTCCTAAAGGAACTTTTAAACAACTATAGGAGCAAAAACTCAACTGTTTTTATGTGTTTCTTAGATGCGTCTAAGGCATTTGACCGAGTGAATCATTGGAAACTATTCAAGAAATTGGTTGCAGCAGGTGTCCCTCAATACATTGTCAGAATCCTGTCATATTGGTATGCCCAACAGACCATGCAAGTGAAATGGGACAGCTGCTTGTCTGCTCCCTTTCATGTGAGTAATGGAGTAAGACAAGGGAGCATCTTATCCCCAATTTTATTTAATTTTTATATGAATGAATTATCTCATAGTCTTAACTCATGTAAAACTGGCTGCATGGTCGGCAGCACAATGCTGAACCATCTAATGTACGCAGATGATTGTGTCATTTTTAGTCCGAGCTCAGCTGGTCTGCAGCAACTTCTTAGTATATGTTCAGTGTTTGGGGAAAATCATGATGTAAAGTACAATGATTCCAAAAGTGCCATTATGATCTGCAGAACCACAGAGGACAGACATTTAATCTTTCCAGCTTTTCGACTTGCTGGAAAGGTTCTTAATATCTGTAGTGAAATTAAATATCTTGGCCATCTGATCACAGATCGGCTCACAGATGATGAGGACATTATTCGGCAGTATCGTTTGTTGTATGTAAGGGCGAATGCTTTGGTGCGTAAATTTGGTTGCTGCACTGTTGAAGTGAAGTTGACCTTATTTAAAGCTTACTGCTCTCCTTTATACTCTGCACATCTGTGGTTGAACTACAAAAAAGCTACTCTTCAGAAGCTGCAGGTAGCTTTCAATGACACTCTGAGGATGCTGTTAAAGAAGCCCAGATCGACTCGAGCGAGTGAGTTGTTCGTGAGCAACAGAGTGAACACACTGAAGTCTGTCCTGAGAAATGCAATGTTTAGTTTTATTCGCCGATTGAACGAGTCTGTGAACCTGGTTGTTGTTGTTTTGGTGAATGCCAAGTTCAGTACAATACGCTATATTTCTCAGTTCTGGGAACACTGGTACAAGTGTCTTTGTAAATGAGTCCTTAGACTTTGCTATTTTATTTTTTATGTTTCTGTGGTTGGTTTAGGTCTTACCTTGAAGACAGGAAGTACTTTGTGGAGATTGGAAACTGTGTCTCAGATCATATGGCCCTGACCTGTGGAGTACCACAGGGGTCGATCCTGGGACCTCTTCTGTTCAATCTCTACATGCTGCCGTTAGGTCAGTTAATACGCAGAAACAAAGTTTCCTATCATAACTATGCAGACGACACTCAGATCTATGTCTCACTGACTGCAGGAGAACATGGACCAGTGGACTCACTCCTTCACTGTATCCAACAGATCAGTGAGTGGATGCAAAACAACTTCCTTCAGCTAAACGCAGACAAAACTGAAATGATTGTCTTTGGTCCCCAGAAACAAAGAGAGAGCGTCATCTGTCACCTACAGTCTCTCTCCCTAAAACCTTCAAACAAGGTCAGAAATCTAGGGGTAATACTGGACTCAGACTTAAATTTTAATAGCCACATCAAATCAGTAACATCAGCAGCTTTTTACCATCTAAAAAAACATTGCCAGGATCAAAAACATAGTTTCTGAAGCAGACTTGGAGATTCTTATCCATGCATTTGTCTCCAGTAGGTTAGACTACTGCAATGGCCTGCTCACAGGTCTGTCCAAACAGGCTGTAAAACAGCTGCAGTACATTCAAAATGCAGCAGCTCGAGTCCTGACTAGAACCAGGAAGTACGACCATATTAGTCCGGTCCTCAGGTCTCTGCACTGGCTTCCTGTGGCTCAGAGAATAGACTTTAAAACAGCTCTGCTTGTGTACAAATCTCTCCATGGCCTCGCACCAAAATATATTAGTGACATGTTAGTCCCATATGAACCAGCCCGGACTCTGAGGAGCACAGGGACTGGACTCCTGTTAGTGCCCAGAGTCAGAACTAAACATGGGGAGGCTGCTTTTCAGATTCATGCTGCTAAAATCTGGAACAATCTTCCTGAAGATGTGAGACAGGCCTCCTCTCTGACAATGTTTAAAACCAGGTTAAAGACGGTGCTGTTTAGCTGTGCATACAACTGAGGGATTTTATATTTTTATCTTTCGTTTTAATGTTCTGTAATTATTTATGATTTTAATGCTATCTTGTTCAGCACTTTGAGTTGCCTTGTGTATGAATTGTGCTATACAAATAAACTTGCCTTGCCTTGCCTTGCCATAAGACTGTATTGGTTCATAAGGCACATCATGTCATTATAAGAATTAGATCAATTTGGTGAGATTGTTGTAAACGCACAGTATTAAATAATGGCACAGCTGTTTATACATTCCGTGGATGTGAAGTAATCCCTTTAATGAAAAATTTTAAATTGAAAAAGAAAATTGTTCCCGGATGAGTGACTTCCTTTCGGTCTGTGTGGCACCGTTGGACAAACTTTAATAAGTGTGTTTTGTAAATAAAACTTAGCTAGACTTCAAAGCAGAGATTGATTACCCCCGTTTTTTAATTTGCAAAGTTTCCAAATTGCCTTGAATCCTCCATTGCACCTGCTCAGTCTCTTGTATGAGCTCATAGATGTCATGACGCATGTGTTGTATGGTACCCACCAGTGTCCGTATGATCGAAAGCACATGGGAGTTTAGCAAAAAAATAGCCTACCATCTCTGGACTGATTAAAATGCCAGGTTGTCTCCAGCTGCAGCCATCAGATAGACATAACCTTTAAGTGGGTCATTAGGAATATATTAAAAAAGACT